TCTTTTGACAAAATGGCCAATGTCTTCATTGACAGATTATGCTTGTGTGGTGGTGCAAATCTAATGAGGATTTTCCTTCTGTATATATGTTTCTCTCTTTTTTAATAATTTATTTAATCTTTATTTTATGTGCACTGGGGTTAAGGTTTCAGATCCCCTGGAACTAGAGTTACAGACAGTTGTGAGCTGCTATGTGGGTGCTGGAAATTGAACCCTGGTCCTCTGGAAGAATAGTCCGTGCTCTTAATCACTGAGCCATCACTCCAACTCTATATGTTTCTCTTATTGGTTGGTGAATAAATCACTTATTGGCCAGTAGCCAGACAGGCAGTATAGGCAGGGCTAGCAGACGAGAATTCTGGGGAGAGGAGCCGCCAGAGAGATGCTGTGTAGCCACTGACGGAGTAACATGCTGGAGCCTTCTCCAGTAAGTAAGGTCATGTTGAAAACATACACTACTTATGGGTTAATAATTAAGAGAGAGCTAGCCAGTAAGAAGTCTGAGTCATTGACCAAACAGTTTATAAATAATATAAATCTCTATGTGCTTATTTGGGGCTAATAAGCTGTGGGACAAGGCAGAATAGAAACTATGCCTACACAAACCTGCAATCCCAGCAGTCAGGGAGCTGAGGCAGGAGGATTATGAGTTCCAGAACACCCTAAGATACATATTGAGTTCAAGGGCCAGCATGGATGACTTTAACAAGATACATGTTGCTATAAAAACATTTCTATGGAAAAACAATATAGTCCATACATACTTTGACAATGACTGAATTGACAGGTATAAAACTTAGAATGTTTAGAAAAATGGACAGACATTCCCTATGGAGTGATACTCTTTCAGCCCAGATACACGGAGGAGGACCTAGGCCCTCCCCCCAAATGATGTGACAGACTTTGATGATCCCCCATGGAAGGCCTCACCATCCTTGGGGAGTGGTTGGGTGGTGGGATAGGGGGGTGGGAGGGATATGGGAGGATGGGAGGGAGAGAGAACTAGGATTGATATGTAAAATAAGATTGTTACTAAATTAAATAAATAAATAAAAATGAAAAGTGAGCAGAGGTCATTCTCTCTAGAGATGTATACATATACAAATATCACTTATTTTCAGCTGGACTTTTGAAAGAACTCAAACAAGCCAGCAATTTAACGTTGAAGGGATGGAGAGATGGCTCAGCAATTTGGAGCTCTTGTTGCTTACAACCATCTAACTACCCAGAACTCCAGTTCCAGGGGATCCTCTTTTGACCTCCATGGGTACCAGTCCTACACATGGTGTACATACATACATAAATAGAGGCAAAACATGCATATACACAAAATTTTTTAATTCTTCAAAAATAAATACTGACTGATCATCATGGCAGGAAGCATAAGGCAAATGACAAAGCCAACATTCCTCTTTGGAAACTAGGTATCCTAGCTTGTATTCTCACAGACCATCCCCTATTGGCTCTTAGACAAGGCCAACATTCTTTCCAGAATATAGCCCTGGGTTTCTCCTAGGACTGTTCAGCAGAAATCCCAGTTTTTGCTCCACTGAAAAAGAATTTCATACAAACCAGAAATCAAAGAGTAAAGTGTTCCTCATAGACTTAAAATCAACGAACAAATATTAAAATACACCTCTTTTTTCCCTGCTACTTCTCACAGTCAGTAAATCATAGATCAGCTGACTGCTCAGAGGTTGAAACAATATGCTGTGGACCTGCCTTGGTCCAGGCAGATTATCAGTTCAATTCTTTGAACCACTACCTTGGTTCTCAGTACTTAGGGAATCATAGACTTTGCCATGTATACTTCTAAAGAGCTTCTGGTTTGATAAGGCTTTTTTTTAGGACAGAAAAGCCTAAAGCTCCCTGAGATACCAGCTTAAATTTACTATCAGTCCTACTCCCTCACACCTCCAGGGAATTATCTGTTAAGGCTAGCTTCGTTCAAGTTCCCAAAGTGATTCCCAAAGAGATCTCAAAGGCTAACAAGTTTCACTATCATTTAATAACCACTAGTACCTGAAGATATAAACAGACAACTTCTTTGCACAGTTAACAACAAAGTTCATTAACAATTTTCACCTTTAATATTATTTTCACATGCAATGATTTAAAATTCTAAGCAAGGGAATTATGCTTTTCTCATTCTACCTATATAGAAAATGTTTTTCCTATTATCCTGGATCCATGCAGCATGTCTAATTAAAGAATATGTTGGGAATGGGGGAACAAAACAAAATCTTGCCAGATACATAGTAGTCCATGTGTTAAAGTCAATAGTCAAATGTATCCACACCTTACAATATCAAAGGGAAGGCACTTGCCTGTTGAAAACTTACCTGTGAATATGGAATTCAAACACACTCAAAAGCATGTTTAAATCGGTGGTGACTTTTATCAAGAATATACCAAAAGAATGATTAATCTTATTGACTAGCAAAGCAGAAAAGGTTTCATAATAAAACTTGTACATTATTTTTAACTAAAAGAATATACATACTGGGACACTCATGATTTTAAATTACTACAGAAATTATCAGATCTAGATTACCTTATTATATTTAAAATGTTTCCCCAGAAAAGAAAAAATCTTAACATAACATTAAGATAATTAAAAGCATATGATTTTTAAAAGACTACTATATCCCTATTGTATTAATTTTTTCACAAGCCAAACATAAGTGTAAAATGTCAGGTCTGAGTTACATGTCTCTTGGAGTTTGGTGACCACTTAAGTCAGTCAAGTAACAAGCAGTTCAAGGCCAACCTGCATGCCAAAGTTGAAACCTTGTTTTAAAGAGAAAAAGAAAAACAAAATAAACAATGTATACCTTGAACTCTATGAGAAGAGAGAACCTGTCATTAAAATTTCAAAAGGTACTCCATATCTTCAATATTTCAGAATTAAATTTTCTAATTTAAAAAGTATTCTTTAATTTAAAAGTATGCCTGTATGCATATTGTCCAAGCAGTAAATCCTTGTAAATACCAATCATCCATTCACAGGACTGAGAAAAAAATAAATTTAAAAGTAACTGTTTTTAAAATGTAAAATGCCCTAATAAATGTAATACTTATACACAGAATAAAGAAAATAAAGCTATACAAAACAATTACAGAACAAAATGAGTTCTACAATGACAACATTTTTTGAAATATATACTACTAGTTCTGTGGTTGCTCAGGGGTTAGGGACATCAGGGAGGGATCATGATTATAAAAGCACAATCCAAGGGCTGGCATGATGACTCAGTGGGTGAAGGTTCTTGATGACAAGCCTGACAGCCTGGGTTCAATATCCAGTACCCATGAAACGAACAGAGAGAACTGACCTCCTAAACTGTCCTCTGACGTCCACACACCATGGCATGTGCACACATACTAATTCCTTTATAATTTAAGAGGAAAATAGAAAAGATCTTTGTAATAATCAAAGTGTCTTGCCTATGACAGAGGTTCTGAGACAAACCTTTATAGAAGGAAACAAGACAAGAAAAACTGGAAAATTCGAATTAGGATCAGCAATTTCTGAGTTTGCACCCTTATTGTAATCATGTGCTAAAGTTTTGAAAGACGTCAAATAAAGGGACTAAATAAAGGGAGTCTTTATTCCCTGCAACTATGCATACATCTACAATTATCTCATAGATATTTAAAGATTTTATAATACTTTCTTCATTATAAATGCCTCCCTATCACAACCACAAACTGCAAAATTCAGTGAGGGAAAAATGTATCTGATAAATAGAAGACTGTTTCCTCAAAGAAACCCAGAGTAAACACTGTCTAAATACTGTGGCCATGATGGTGTGTTCTTGGTTTATTTTTAATGATGTGCTCATTTGAACTAGTCTTAAAGATCTCATCCTAATAATTAAGGATCTCTTATGACCTAGTAAGCTGTATCTAGCTTACAGTTCAATCCATGGCTCCTGTGGAAAGCTGTCCTCTGAGTGAGGCTGGTGCCCTCCTGAACTCTCAGCAGCTGTGGTTACCAGCAGGAACTCTCCCAACTCCCCCAACTCTCTCTCTCTCTCTCTCTCTCTCTCTCTCTCTCTCTCTCTCTCTCTCTCTCTCTCTCTCTCTCTCTCTCTCTCTCTCTCTCTCTCTCTCTCTCTCTCACACACACACACACACGTCATGGGGTGGGTAAAGATAAAAGCTTATCAAGTCCAGACCCTCTCCAGGATGTCTAATTAGTTAAGGTTGCTGAGGGAGAAAGATATTTTCAGTGGTTTAAGCTACTGATAAATTGGTTCACTTAACAATGCTTAGTAAACTCATTGGTTCTCCAAGCTAGTCTTGGATGGAATCCTTTCTATGATCTGCCCTTGGTGCCCCATTAGGGATGAATAAATGTCTCTTCAGAAACACACACACACACACACACACACACACACACACACACACCAATAGAATAAGGACTGATTTTACCTAAAATGAACTCTCCTCTCTCCCCTCTTGCAGACTAAGGGGTGGGAAGGGGATGCCTCGTGAAACTCACAGATCCTTACCTATTTCGAATCTCTTGGGAAAAGGTTCGAGCGTATTACTCCTCTTCCATTAATGTCAAGAGGCGAACTGCGAAAGCAGTCTGAAATTTCTCAGTTTCTCAAGAAGGGGATGTGACAAAGAGTGACAAGAAAGGGCATCGGGATAAATGGGTCTGGTTAGGATACATTCCCATCCAGGAAAATGACTTCCAGACAGTTCATATGGCTGGCCGATTACAAGATGGAAATGATACCAGGCCTCCTCCATCCTCTCCGCTTCACCCATAAATTCCTTAAGAGAGGAGAGGGTCCAGAAGAACCTGGCACTTAAGCCCATTCCCGGGGCTTCCCAAAAATTAAGCTGGTAAGGGAGCAAGGAAGCGAATCTGACAGCAGGGGCGAGAAGGGGGACCGGGACCCGGTGAGGCCGGCGTGGGTGCTGGGAGGACTAGGATGGATGTGGGATGAGGTGTGGGACCAAGGCACCGCATTGTGCAGGCTCACCTGCATTCTGCAGTGTCTCGATGTTCTGAGGTCTGGTGGCCTGCTCCGCCACCATCTGCACGAACCGGGTCCGGGCATTCTGGTACAGCTCGAACACTGGGGAGAGAGGCAAGGTGGAGCAGCCGGGCACCCAGTGCTATCTATCCCGTCGGGGCGCCCGTCCACGGCTCCCTACCTTGCAGCACCTGCCGCTGGCTCATGGCGCCGCGTGCGAGGTCCGCTCTCCACGATCCCTCGGCCTCCGGTCGGACTGACTGCTCGGTGTACTCACATCCCAGGGCAACCGACCGGAACCGGAACGCAGCCGTTTCGTGGCAACGGTAGGTACCGGGCGTGACGTCACAACCATGATAGACAGAGCGGCAGAGGGGTGACCTCGTACCCGGGGACTCACGTCGCGTTCCGTCTGGTGTCACTTCCCTGTTGACCTGGTACGAGGAGCGGGCGTCCTTGTGGAGGACGCGGTCTGCACCAATGCATGCAGAGAGGCGTTGTCCATCCCCCCACCCCACCCCTACCCAGGACTGCACCTGGTCGGGCCCTGGGGGAAGGGCGCTCGGGCACCCGATGTCAGTTCCGATAGATAGGAGTCATCGGATCAATCCAACACTGGCAGCACAACCTCAAGTTGCTCTGTGTTCCTCTTAACCTACCTGACATTTATGATTTCTGAATTCCTGAAGGGTCAGAGCAACCAGCAATTAAAGACACCTAGGGAGTGCATGGGAAAGCAGAGAAGGGAAAAATGATAAATATCCTATCTTGAAAGTTTGCCTGGTTACTAGCAAGCTTGCTGTCTCCTTATTTCAATATGATTTTTAAAAATAATGGTTTAAATCTGGTGTCATTTTGTTGCTGAGTGACGTTTCCAAACGAAGAGCCTTTACCTAGGAACACTAGCTTACATAAGTTGAGCTCAGCGTTTCTTTTTACCAAATTTAAGCACTGTGGTTCACCATTAGTTCTAGTTACTCTTTGAAAATTCTGTACCAAATGTTTCAGTGACAGGTGTCAGCTTTAAATATTTCTCTCTCTGAAACTACCATTTATCAGGTGGCAAGTGGGCAGCTAGCCACAGCTGCTGCCTAATAGAGGCAGACCGGAAATCCTGGCTGTCTCTACCTTACCAGGAGGAAGCATACACATCTCTGGCTTTCATATTTGGAATCTTCTACAGTCACTTTAAAAATCTCATCTGAAGGAGTCTTGGCAGTCCGTGGAATCCCCCAAAAAGTTGGGGAATGGGCTCCCTGCTCGAGAAATGAAGAAGTGTGTAGACTCCTGCTTCGTGCTCCAGGGCAGGTACAAGCCTGTAGCGTCTTGCAGTTAAGAAGGTAGCCACACAATCCTTTCACTAAACTCTATATGTTTCACAATGTTCTTCTACACGTTTCCCAACAGGGCCTATAAAGTGGAAGTGTCTGCTCCTGTGTAGAGATGTACAGGAAAACTCTGAGTGGATAATTAAAATTGCTAATGAAGTGTCTTAGTTTTATTTTTTTTCAGTTCCTTGTTGCATTTTGAAGAATAAAAAGTCCTTAAAATTAAAAGGTCCCACTGCTTGATGAAGTCTTTAAACAATTCACACTTCCAAAATTGCTACACTTTCCACTTTCAGTAGGTCCTTTGTATTTTCTACTTTAAAATTGTCAAGAGCCCAGTACCCTACTTATGGGATGCTGCATGGTTTGAAAAGTTAAGTAGAATGGGTATTTTAAACTAGAAAGCTTGTGTATGTCATGGACAATGCCCATGAATAGAATTTATTGTCCTAATGAAACACATTAAAGGATGCCTATTTCTCAGATCTCTGTGAGTTGGAGGCTTGCTTCCAACCATTTCATATCTGAAGTTAGACTTATTAAAGAAGTTTCAGCTTTTTAAATCTAGTATTTCCCCCCAAAGTCATTAAAGTTCAATGAAGAAATGTAACACAATAATCATAATATACTCATAAGTGGAATTATTGGTAATTTAAATATAAAATACAGTGAAGAGATTACTGTAATGGAAAAGAAAGTCACTCTATTTTCTGACCCGTTTTCAATTTATTAACTTTAAAACAAAGTGCTTCTCTGATTTACATAGTTAAATGAATGTTCCATGATCATGTATAAACCTTTAGACTATTGGTTAAGTGAAAGACTAGTCAAAACGTTATCAAGCTAAGATTATTATTCTTAAAGCATCAGCTGCATTTACAAGTATTATGCACTTGCCAAATAAAACTATGTATTTGACTTGGAATGAAATATTAAGTTGAAAACTGTTTCAATGAAGTTTGGAAGCCTTTACCTCCTTTTGGAAAAGGCTATACAATTTCAAAATCATTATCCACTTCATGAAAACAAGACTGGAAAACCCAAAGTACAAAGCCAGTTTTTAAATCTTGTCCCCTTTCTCTTTACAAATGTCCTCTGAGAATCCAGAAAAATCCCACTACTGTGGGGCTGGATGCTACTGGTGCATAAAAGCTTTGCTAATTTTAACACAGTTCCAGTTCCTAGCTGAATGTTAAAAGGTAAAATTCTCTGTATACTAATCATATACTAATGTCCACATTTTTAGAAACCTGTTGAGATTCAAAATACAGAGCAAAGCACCTACTAAAAGAGGAAGGTGTAGCAATTTAGGAAACTGAATAGTTTAAAGACTGAGCCTAACACATAACAATATCACTGTGCTCTTGAATGTGCCTGCCTTCCGGGACATAAACTCTAATAAGAGAAATTAATTCATTTTTCTTATAATACAATCTCTATTAGTTCAACATGTACCACAGATTTCAGTTCTAAAATCACTCCAAATACTGTGATTTGTGAGCAAAGATGAGGGGGGGTTCAGGTAAAGTAAAGAATGGCAAACTATTTGAAACATTTAATTAAGGAAAAACTTCTTGTTAACAGAATATTATGTTTTATATAGACATGAAATCTCTTTTTAATTCTTCAAATATTTTTAATTTTTCAGAGGTATTCCATTGGTAATTGAATGTCATTTGTCAACTTGTGAGACATCAACAATCCTTTTTGCCAACATCAAGTGTAAAAATCACTGAAGTAGCTTCACATTTCCAGGCTTCAATTAAAGAGAGAAGTACTGTATGCTCCAGAGCCAAACTGGTTGACTCGGATGTTATCTAGAATGAAGAAATCAAACATAGGCTATCTGAATTATGGTACAACCCTCGTAAGAAGTATAAGCTTAGGATCTCGCATTTAGGTCTGAGGGGACCATCCAGTTGTGCCAGCAACTGCCAGCAGAGCAAAAGGTAGACACTTGTCTATGAATCGGAAGATTAACATTTGTATGCAAGTGTTGTGGTTGTGTCTTATTTGTATTTGCCTTTGCTTCTCAAAACTATTACAGTATGCCTTAAGGGGCTAGTGCTTTTCAGGCCGGTAGAATGTCAAGGTGAGTGGCTAGACAGATCTAGATCTAGATACACCAAGACATGGCTTCTTTGGAAATGTCTAAGTAGATGCAGAACTTCCCAAAGAAAGTTATGATCAGAGTGATGGCCTCACTTCCCCCACCCCAACCCCAAAACACCAAGAGCACAGTGGTGATTACTAAAAATCTACCTTTTAAAAGTAGGAGTCAAACAGTGTAATATGTCTCATGCTGTAACATGCAAAGCAAAAACAAATTATTGCTGTGTCGGGTAAGCATGTATGCATCTTACTTACACAAGCTTTCTTAATTAAAAGTTGCTCCAAAGCCAGCATGACTACAAAGAAAACTCTGAGCACTCTGCATTTAAGATTATCCACCACCATCCCGAGGAGAACGCCTATATCTCACAAATTTTGTTGGATTCTTCTTAGAAATCATGTGGGGTTTTGCTCTCCCGTGCTTAAAAATGATCATTACTGTACAAAACTTAAGAGACTATGTTGGAAGGTGTTTTGCTGGAGACGATCCCCGGGCTTCAAGGACAGAGCACAGGCACGGCTCAGGCTCAGGTCTCCCAAACTAGGCAGTGTGGTCCAGACCCTGGGAGGGGGGGGGGATCGCCAGTGGATCACCCTATGCCACTCGCGTGCTTGGGTCCCCGGAGCGAGGGGCCTGCCCACGACAGGCCACTGCGTGCCGAGCTGGGCCAAGGGCAAGGCCCCGACCTCCTTTACTTTATCACTCGTCCGAAGTTCTCCAGCTCCTAGGAGCATCCTCGAGATCTCAGGCCCAGGAGAGAGCAGCGGGGTGGGGACCAGGGGCAAAATAGTGAGCCAACCCTGAAGCCACGGAGACGCGCGGGCGGCAGGGCGGTGAGCGCGCGGGGCCCCGAGAGGGGAGGGCGCGCGCCAGCGGAGTGCGGAAGCGCCTCGCCGCGCACCCGGCCTCGGCCTCGGCCTGCGGCCTCAGGTCCCGGCTCCCCACTCTGCCCTCGGGCCGCGCTCAGGCCTTGGGAGCCGGAGGGGCCGGACTAAGCCAGGCCTCGCTCTCCCCTCCGCTTGGGTTCTGCGGCCCGGCCTCCCGTGGAGGCCGCGAGGGGTCTCGGCAGGAGTCACCACTCAACCTCCCCGCGGCGCGCCTGGCAAGAGCGCGGCCACGACGCCGGTCAGGCCTCCGCCGACCCAGCCCGGAACCCGGCGGCCAGGCCGCAGCCTGGGCGCAGCCAAGAACCGCCCCGCGGCGGCTAGGCTGGGCTGGCCGGGCCGGTCTCCTCCCCCGACGCTCCCGAGCTGCGGGGAGAGTGGGGAAGGGCTCCAGACCCCTTTGCTAGGACTGTGTGGGAACCCTGCGAGGTCCGCCAGCAGACAGCGCCTTCAGACCCCCCAGGCACACCGGGTCCCACAGGCGGGGACCGGACACAGTAGCTTATTTAGGGGGAAGGCGGAGAGGGGTGGCGGAACAGCTGCACCTCACTGCGCATGTGCGAGGTTCCAAAAGGGGAAAAAATTTTTTTTTAACTTTTGCGGTTCTGAGTAGTCCCAAACCAAAATGTCTTGTGCAGTGATTATTTCAGAAACTAATTGGCTGTGTGCGCTGACTCCTGAAAGTCACTGCAAAAGTACAGAAAACGTTTGCGAGGTTTCTGAAACCTTGGAAGTAAAAACAGCGTCACTTGTTTATCGATTCTTCAGGTCCGTTGCTCTAACAGAAATGGTCAGGGCGGATAGTGAACCCCGCTGAAAGGTAGAGTGAATCCAAGAATCCCATAGCATTACATTCTCATTCCTACCGAGAACATGCGTGCGCTATCAGTAGTGTTTCAGAGTTAGCGTGAGTACTCTAAACTGAATTATTTAAATTTACTTCCTATCCCACTATTAGCCCATAGTTAATTTTACGGTGAAGAGTAGCGT